AGTATTTAAGCTTCTATGTTCAGAGATCGTTTCGATACTTTCTGTTCTGGTTATTTGGTTTCTCTCTGGAAGTTATCAGTATCTGGTTATACTTTTGGGAGGTATTATAGCTGTCATAACAACATTTCACAAAACACGAGTGGCCAACCCATTAAGGAGCGAGTATTGACACGATTGTTTGTCGTAGCGGACGTCCTAGTCTTTTTATATCTCGGACGCATCTGATTATCTCTCGCGACAATCTATTTATGGATCAACAAAAGAAGTGTTTGTACCTTCACTGAACTCTAGAACAAGAAGACGAGAAAATACACCTCGAAAAACCAAATTTATGAATAACTTTCGTCCATAAAAAAAACTATTACTTTACAATAACTTTAAAAAACCCATATTAATAAGTTAAAAAAGACAATGTATTAACATCCTTCGTCAACCAAAAAAAACCACGTTTATACCTTTTCTTCAGATACTTCACCTGGCACAAGCAGAACTTCCAAGAGCCTGCGACCATGCAGCAAGGCCTGGCCGACAAGCACAGACACATGGTTGTCATAGTAGACCCCCACATCAAGCGAGATAACAACTACGCCGTGCACAAGGGAGCGCAGAACAAGTACTACGTCAAGAAACAAAACGGGGCGGACTACGACGGCTGGTGCTGGCCGGGTACGTAGGGTGTTTTTCAGCGTTTGGGTGGGGAGTGTATATGTGTGTGTATCTTTGTGTAGTATTGTTGTGATCTATACACTGGTACGTAGGGCGTTTGTCAGCGTTTGGGTGTGGAGTGTATAGGTGTGTGTATATTCGTGTAGTATTGTTGTGATTTTTACCCGTGTGTATATTTGTGTAGGTATATGTTTGTAGGGATTTTGTCAGCGTATGGTGTGGAGCATATATGTGTGTATATCTTTGTGTGGTATTGTTGTGATCTATACTCGTGTGTATGTTTGTGTAGGTATATGTCCATAAGGCTAGAAGTGATAGGACTTGTGTATGAGGTGTGTGGAATTCGCACTCGGTATAAAATCGGATTGCTGCCGATGCTGGCTTTCTACTTGGTCATCTTGGGTATTGATGTATAGATAACCTTCTATATATATATATATATATATGTATGTATGTATGTATGTATGTATGTATATATAAATATATATATATATATTTATATAAATATGTATATATATATATGCGTGTGTGTGTATGTACATGTACATGTAAATGTAAATAGATATATATATATGTGTGTGTATGTGTAAGTGTATATTTCTATTTCTATTTTTTATCTATTTCTATTTCTATTTCTATTCAAATATGAATATACGCATGTTTGTAGATGTATGCATTTATATATGAAACTTCAAGAAATATTGTTATTTATATACATGTATACATTTGTACAGATATATGTTTACAGAGATATAAATATTACCAATTGTGTACAAGTACTTAGACCGGTGCGAACTACGACGGCAATTGACCTCTTCTACAAAGTGTACATTCCTAATTTTCTGAATCTTTCACAGTTTGTACAATCCTATCTTTTCTTCAGTTTCAGGATCATTCCTGATTTGGCAAGTCTTCACGACAATTTCGTTCCCCATCTGACATTTTAACACTACTGCATTCCTAAATAGTTCATCGTCCACAAAGTGCACATCCCTAATTTTGCATATTGCCGCCACATGTATATCCTAATCTGACACTTTTCCGCACTATGTACCTTCCTGATTTGCCAATCTTGGCACTATGTTCGTTCCTAATTTGCCAATCTTGTAGGATCGTCGTCGTGGCTGGATTTCACCCGTGAGGATGTGAGAGACTACTGGGCGGGTCTATTCGCGTTAGATCAGTACCAAGGGTCTACCAACAACCTACACATCTGGAACGATATGAACGAACCCTCAGTCTTCAACGGGCCAGAGATTACGATGCATAAGGTGTGTCTTGCACACATATGCATTGCATGTCCAGGCCATCTCACCAGCCATGTCATCACCATCGCATATATATATATATATACTACATATAGCGATTTGTACATATATCTAAATCACACACACGCAT